TTATTGGTCCTTTTTGCTTTTCTCCTGCTAAAATGTGCAACATCTAAAGGTTTAAATTATTAACATTCAGTTCAGTTCCCAAGTGGTCTACCCTCTTCCATCTCTCCAACTTGATTTTCCTATCCCAATTGACTCATTCATTCCCCATCTCTTCTCTGGCTGCTTCTCTGATATCAGCAATGCTTTATTTCTCCTGGAGCACTATTGTATAAAGAACGATGTTTGTTGAGGTTTACTTCCCTTGGACTTTCTTTCCAATCCCTTTTGCATAAGAGAGGGAAAGAAGATGCTCTTGGATTGTCTTTCTCTATCTTTCTCCCATCAACCCATGTACTCGCTTTAAAGCTCCTTATCAGCTCTCCCCACTTGCTTCTGGGCCCCAGATGGAACCCTCAACCAGGGTTAGAAGATTTGGGGAAAACCAGTTGGTTGAAGAACTGATGACACAAGTGTAAGTCACCTAACAGTTATTTGGATTGGAAATATATAAACTAGGATAGACATTTTAATACTATGCCTTTAAGAGGATACTAAATCTGTAATTGGGTGTGGTTCCGCAAATGGCCATAAGATGGAGCCAGAAACCTGGATTGTTAGGAGTGTGTGTTTGAGTCTCAGTGAGTCTCTGTTTCCTTCTGTTGGAGAGTATTGCCGTTTTTCCTAAAGACTAAAGACTGTTACTGATCGTTGATGTAAGTCTGTTACTGAACTGTTTTTTTGATACTGGACTTTGTTATTTGGATTATTCCTGAACTGAACATTGACTGTTTTACCTGTGAATGACTTGTACTGCTTATCTTGGACATTTAAACATTTATTGGAAATAAAAACCTACATTTACTATGCAATGTATCGGTGTGCTGTGTGTGTTTTATTCAACTCTACTCTCACTATGTCTCCCTGTATGTGCTCATTCTCCTAACGGGGAATTACCTCAACGATGAGATCATGCCACTTCCCCAACTCTTTGTGGGAATTTCACAACAGAAAATGACAGAGGTCTGAAATCTGCTGATGTTAGAAAAACGGTGCCATGATTGAGCAGGAGGCTGGACTAGAAGACCTCCAGGATCCCTTTCAGTTGTATTCTATTCTTATGTGTTGCTGGAGGTTGCCTGTCCTTGAGAATGTGTGTGTGTGTGTGTGTGTGTGTTCTCCTGGACATTGAGGAGTTGAATCCATTTGCTGTGAGCCTTTGGAGAAGAAAAAGTGAAGAAGAAAATTATATTGATGATACTTCCCTGAAACTAGGGCCAATGTAGAGAAGGATTGAGAAATACCACATATCTAAGGAAATACCACGTTTCCTTAGATATTTCTCCCATGGATGAACCAACAGCCATGGTTCATCCATGGGAGAAATATCTAAGGAAGTGTTAGCAGTTTGACTGTCTGAAAAACTCTCTCAGCTTTGGGAACCAAAATACTCCACAAGACAGATTTGCTAAAGGCAAAAGAACACTGAGGATTCCAAAACTGGATTTGCTGTTTTTTTACAATTCACACCTTGTAAATAGATTGATTTTCTCATGATTTCTCTCCAAATTAATATGTCAACTTCTTTCCTTAGCCAGAACAGTTTCTAACATGTACCGTCTTCTTCACTTTTTAATCTGTTTATCATCCTCCTGATGAAACTGGGACATTCTATCTCATTTTATGAGGATGGCTCTTTATCTAGAAAAGCATCAAGGCTTCTGAACCAGAGGAGATTTTGGAAGCATCATTAGAACAAGAATTTCTGAATGGAGCCTCTGAATCCAAGACAAGAGAGACAATCCGCTAGTCCATTCCCTTCCATGTGAAACATACCTTCTTGTAATTGGAATCTTTGATGGCTGACAGTTAAATTTCAGTGCTTGAAAGAGAGATAACTTTTCTAGGAGCAAATTCCCCCTAATAATGAGATTCCCAGATCTGTAGTAGTCCTTCACGGTTCTCAAAGGGTTGTTTGGTGCACAAATGGTTTGCAATATCTTGTGAGTAGTTGAAGGCAGGAGCCAGAAGAGAAGCAGAAGGAGAAACAGCCCATTCATTATTCTCACCTTCCTTCCTAGATGAAAAATCAATGTTTATTGAGAACTTGAACTGCTGGTAGCTTCCAAACAAAAATAATAATATCACCAAGTCTTTAGGAGTAAATCAGCAAGCTGTACCATTCTGGTACACCTTGGGGCAATTTAATATCAAGCATGTTTTTGCTAACCTGATTTGAATTGCCTCAAAAGAGAAACTTGAGGCCAGTTAAGTTTCATTGGTCCCTAGAAATTGCCTTGTTTTATGAGCAGCTAAGGTGGTACTTCCAGCCTCCCTAGGGAATGCTCAAATTGCCAGCCCTGGAGCCATTTTTCTCCTGGCATCTTCAGGGCTGCCACAGTGGAGGCAGGGCGAGCTGTGGGAGTGAAAGGGGGGAGAGGTAGAGATAGGAAAGGGATTGTAACCTAAATAAAATTCTTTCCTCTGAGAGCCAAGAACATTCCCACCAGTTGCAAAAAGGTGGAGTCTGAGGCCTGATAAATGTTGCACTGTGACGTGATTGGTCCATGTGATGGACTGCAGGGCAGGTGGAGGAAAATTGCAATTTTAACTATGGGGGGAACCCGAGGGGTTTTTAGAGTGGGTTTCCCAAATTTTGCCAATATGACCGACCTAATAAATCTGTACTTTGAGGACTATGCCAGCCTTGGAGTTCTGTTGGGAGGGTTACTTGGATCTATGATATAAATCCTATTTTATTTAAGCAGATTTTATCTTGAAAGAGTTTTATGGGTAGAAATCTATGGGGGTATATTAAGAATTACTGTTCTTCCAATAATTGCAAAGAAGAATAACATCCTACTCATTTAGCAATAGCTTATCTTCATACAACCAGAAGGAGAAAAACAGGTTTGTTTCCTGTGTTGTTCACCAAAACAGAAGTAGGAGTTGAGGGTCATGGTGCAACTTGTATTCAGCCTACCTGAAAGTGAGTATCTGCATCTAAGATGGAGTCTGTAGAATAGAATAGAATGGAATGGAACAGAACAGAACAGAACAGAACGCAGAACAGAACAGGACAGAACTGAACATAATAAAATAGAACAGAGTTAGAAGGTACCTTGGAGGTCTTCTAGTCAAGCCCCTGCCTAGGCAGGAAACCCTACACCACTTCAGATAAATGGTTATTCAACATCTTTTTAAAAACATCCAGTGTTGGAACATTCACAACTTCTAGAGGCAAGTTGTTCCACTGATTAGTTGTTCAGATGGAGGGAGGGATAAGGAGCAAGGTTCTAGTGTGGTGATCAGTTGTAGCCATCTAAAAGTAAGCAATAAGTTTGTATGAAAGAACTGCTTGATTTATTCTTATATGGAAAGGGATGAAATTAGAAGCCCATTTCTCCATGAGATGAGGTACTTGAGATGTATGGCTAATTTAAACTCTGCTGGAGTGCTGCCTAGCAACTGGCTAAAGGCTGGGAAATTAGTCTGCTGTCAGCTGGTGAGGAAGAATACCATCAACCATGATAGAGTTGTTCAATGGTTTTCCAGTGTGGTCCCAGAAAGCTGGTTCTGTCTAGTGTGTGATGCCCAATTAAACACATACAGAGACGGAGATTTTAAAAAGCTTTATTCTGCACAGGAGAAAAGACACAGGGGGATCATTCCCATTGGGCCTGTGCAAAGGCCACTCCTTCAACAATACAGTTTTTATACTTAAGCCCACCTTAAGCTAACCTTTTTGAGATCAACCTATGACTTTGTCACTGTTTATTAATAATGCTTAGCTTGCATCTGTATTGTCTAACAGCAATCAGCACATTTGCCTCTAATTTCTAAGAACAATTAGTACACATTTGCCATAATTACCATGCTTCCCCCAAAATAAGACTGGATCTTATATTACTTTTTGCTCCAAAAGACACATTATTTTCTGGATAGGCCTTATTTTCAGGAAAATATGGTACTAAATGCATCTGTCTGGCTGATGTTCTTAACTAAGACTTATTTTGGGGGTAGGTCTTATATTAAGAGCATCCTGAAAAATCATGTCTTATTTTCGGGGAAACACGGTAGTATAATTCCACCAAAGTTCCTATTTAGAGAGGATAGACCTGAGTGAAAACAGTGTTGTATATCACTACTAGTAGTAGTAGCATTAGTAGTGTAGTAGTAGTAGAGTAACAATTATATACTAATGATAGACATAATTTAACATAGAGATAATAGTAATATATTATCAAAAGTGATAGAAATATAAGACAATATACATAAAAAGAACTCAAATACTTAATCTTTCTCTTTTGTATCTTAGATATTTTTTATCAAAATGAAACATCTTGCCAATGGTCCAGTGCTTTTGCAGAACTTTTGAGTCTAGGATAATCTAATCAAATACAGTTTAAAAGAGAACCTATAACAAGCTCCACTGATTTTCTATCCTTTGTTCTGGATGGGGTCACAGTACCTAAGATGGAATTGATGTGCAGTTGGGCTGATTTAATTAAAAACTAAAGACTGGAAAAGGTGGGTCTGGATGTCCATGGATCCCAAGGAATTGATGTCTGGAAAAATGTGGTTGGCATTGGTAGATGATATAAATATTATCTTTATTCAATGATCAGTCCTCACAGCCTGTGATGGGAACTGTTATCAGCATCTGATGTTGAGTCATAAGAATTTTGGCTCTGTTGCTCAAGCTAAGAAGAACTGCAAATGATGAAAACTTAATGCGACATTACAAAGCACAATAATTAGAAGCTGAGTTTTTCAGAATAAAAGGGAGGGAGGTATAAGGCTTAATGGAGTTCTTTCTGGTTAAAGTATTTGTATATTTGAATAAAATTGAATTCTTCTTGCAGACCTTTCTAAGTAGGTCACATAGAGCCAGACAGAGTCAACAAAAAACAGAAACCCTCAACATCATTTTTGCTAGAATGTGCTTGTTGTGTCTGGACATAGTTGGAATGGAAATTTCTACATTCATCTGCACAGAAGTAACTATATGTTGTCTCACATTCCTACTTAACCTTCCTCATGAGGTGAATTCTATTATTCAGATCTGGCCTCAGCATTATAACATAGCATTTGGGGAAAAAGATACAACTCAGCAGACCAGCTGCAGAGGCCAAGATGGAGAAGATCTCCACGGCCACCATGGACTTCCCTTTTGTGCTCAGGTAGGTGGGGAGAAAGGAGACCCAAACGCTGCAGAAGACCAGCATGCTGAAAGTAATGAACGTGGCTTCATTAAAGCTGTCAGGCAGCTTCCTGGCCAGAAAAGCCACTATGAAGCTGATGAGACTCAGAAAACCCATGTAGCCGAGCACAGCATAAAACATGGTGGTTGAACCTTCATTGCATTCCATCCCAATTTCTCCCTTCAAAGAATGAAAGTCCAAATTAGTAAATGGGGGGGAGAATGCCAACCAGAAAGCACAAAGAGCTGTTTGCAGAAGGGGACAAGTCAGGACTATGATCAGTTGCTTCCCCAAGAACTTTCTTGCCCTGTTTCCTGGCTTAGTAGCCATGAAGGCCAGCACTACAGTCAGAGTTTTTGCCAACAGAGATGAAATAGCAATGGAGAAGACAATGCCAAAAGTGGTTTGTCGGAGGAGACAAGTGAGGTACCTTGGCTGCCCGATGAAGAGGAAGGAGCAGAGGAAGCAAAGCAGGAGGGAGACCAGGAGGATATAGGTAAGATCTCGGTTGTTCGCCTTGACGATGGGTGTGTTGTGGTGTTTGATGAAGGCTCCCAACACGAGGATTGTGATCAAAGAGAAGACAAGGGCTAGAGAAACTAAAATGAAGCCAAGTGTATCCTCATAGGAGAGAAAGTTCATGGTCTTGGGAATGCACAGGATGTGGTTCTTGTTCGGGTGTTGGTCTTCTGGACATGGGATGCACTGGGCAGCGTCTGAAAGAACAGGCATCAGTATACATTAGACAGAGAACCAGAGATTGTCTTTGAAGGGAATTGCTTTCTCAATGAAGGAATTGAAATGCCCCAAACGCCCCATCTTTTTACGTCTGCTGCACACAACACAGAAGGATCCAGTGGAATCAACCTAAGATGTTATAGCCTCTAAAAACTTATTGGGAGTAATTATATAATGACTTAATTGATTTGTTTAATTTTATTATTACATTTTTGAAATTCCCAACTCCCAAACTGAGGAACTCTGCTCAGTGTTCAATAAAATATTGCTGTCAGGATTCCGGCATTGCGCTAATTAAATTATGAGCCTTTAGCCAAGCTTCCAAAACTACAAAGAATTTATTAGAAGCAAACATGTCGGTATGACCTGTATGAAGCCAATTGTGAGACATGTAATAAACTGTCACCTTGACCCTGGTTTCCCCCCACTCCTTTGAGTGTATCATAATTCTTATTCTCCAATGAAACACATTCATAGCCAAGAATCATCAATCACGCTCTCCAATTAGAGATTTGCACAGCAGAAATTCCAATCACTTAGTTATAATATTTTCAAGATATGAATGGAATGCACTTTTGGTTTCAAATTGTTGCATTGCTCTGTCAAATTTCTTTCCACCCCCCTCTGGTTCATGGCAATTCTAAAACTGACATAGAAATGTTTTATGAGTTAACAATTAAAACATATAAGCAGCACATAAAATTTAAAACTGCTAGTAACAATTTAAAGGATCAATTCAATGTACCACTCTTAAAAGTTCTGAATGACTGAATGACTATAATGCATTCATTGATTTTTTTTTTACATTTTGAAATTCCCAACTCCCATTGCGAGGGACTCAAGGCATTCAACAAAGTAGACCCCAACCTACTAGAAAAAAGTGTGATAGGTAGCATTATCAGCAGATGGATTTGTAACTGGCTGACAAACTATTCAATGAGTAGTCCTTAATGGTGCTACATCTACATGGAGGGAAGTAAGCAGTAGACTACCACAAGATTATTTCTTAGGCCTGGGACTCTTCAATATCTACCTAAATGACTTAGAGGAGAGAATAGAATGGAAACTTACCAAATTTGCAGACGATACTAAGCTGGCAGTAATAGCTAACACCCTAGAACAGTGGCCCCCAACCTTTTTTGTGCCGTGGCCTGATACCGGCATCACAAAATCATCCGCGGCCTGGTACCATTATCAGCACACATGGCAAGGCGAGCTGAGTGACCGGCCAGCCAGCCGTTCCTCGCTTCTCCCCGCCACCTTCAACTCCTCCTTTGTACCTGTGTCGATGGGCTTCGCGATGGCTTCGGGATGGTCGCTCGGCTCGCCTTGCCATGCATGCTGAAAGAATCCTTGTACCTTAGTTTTGTTCGAAGCCGCCCACCCCTCGATGAAACTAAGGCGTGAGGATTCTTTCAACACCCAAATGCCGCTTTCTACCCGGAAAAGCTCACCGGAAGCACTTTTTCATCAAAACAAGATGGCGGCGCCAAGCAAACTGGTGGCCTGGTAGAAATTGTTCCACTGACTGGTACCGGTCCAGGGACCAGTGGTTGGGGACCCCTGCTCTAGAAGATAGGTTCAAGATCCAGGTGGATCTTGACAGACTTGAACATGCCGTATCTAACTAAATGAAATTCAGTGTAGAGAAAAGTAAAATTCTACATTTAGGCAAGAAAAACCCAAAGTACACATATTGACTGGGTGAAACCAGGCTCAATAGCAGTAACTGTGAGAGGGATCTTGGAGTCTTAATGGACAACCAGCTAAATATGAGCCCGCAGTGTGCAGCAGCAGCCTAAAAAGCAAATGCAATCCTAAGTTGCATTAACAGAGGGATATAATCAAGATCAAGTAAAGTACTAATGCCACTCTATAAAGCCTTGTAAGACCACACCTAGAATGCAGCATCCATTTTCATCACCACACTATAAAAAAGATGGGATTTTTGAAAGAGTGCAGAGAAGAGCAACCAGGATGAGGGGACTGGAGGCTAAAACATATGAAGAATGGTTGCAGGAACTGGGCCTGGTTAGTCTAGGGAAGAGAAGGACTAGGGGAGACATGATAGCAGTCTTCCAATATTTGAAGGGCTGCCACAGAGAGAAGGGGGTCAAGCTATTTGCCAAAGCACCTGAAGGCCAGACAAGGAATAACTGATGAAAACTGATCAAGGAGAGATTTAAGCTAGAAATAAAGAGAAATTTTCTGACAGTGAGAGCAACCAACCAATGGAACAACTTGCCTTCAGAAGTTGTGGGAGCTTCATCACTGGAAACTTTCAAGAAGAGGCTGGTATCTGTCAGAAATGGTGTAGGTCTCCTGCTTGAGTGCAGGGTAGGACTAGATGAACTACAAGGACCCTTTCCAACTCTGTTAATCTGTTAAACTGACTCTGGTCAGTGTTCAATAAAATATTAAAATATACAAATAGTACATAAAAGTTACAACTGCTGCCCACAACTTAAGAAAGGATGCATTCAATGGACCACTTTTAAAAGTTCTGAATGACTTTCATGTTGATTTGCTCAACTGATTTGCCATTCATATTGTCTCACACTCCTCCCCAGGAAGCTCTGGTACACCTCCTCATTCCTGCTGGAAGGTCTCCTCCAGCAACTTGCCTGTTTCATTAGAAATGGTCCCTTCTGGGCAAGAAGCACATCCGTAGCAACAACTGGGCCTCCCCTCTGCAACTTTCCTGGCTTGTCCTGGAAGGCAGCGCTTCACACAACGAGAGAAAGGCTTTGTCTGAAAGGAGAGTGGGATTAGCTTTGAGATGGAGAGGTTAGAAATGTTCAGATTGGCTTCGGGGCCTGCATAACAGCAGCCCCTCTTCTTCCTTCCACTGAGTAGAATTTCCATCACAACAACCTGGAAGCAACATCTACTCCCCACCTGGTTGGCCCACACGATGGCATCGGGGTTGATGTTGAAACCTTCAGCTGAAGGAGCTTCCGGATTGACCCATCCAACTTTCTGTCGAAGGATCGTCATATTTGCAAAGACGACCCAGTTGAGGAGGTCAAATCCTGCGTATTTCATTCCAGTTTCTGAAAAGGAGACTTCCTCCCAAGCAGTGTTGTTGAAAAGGATGTTTCTCAAGAAGGCGAGCATCTGGAATTGCAAAACAATTAAACCAACAATCAAAATGCCCATGGAAGAGAAGAGACTTTATATAAAAGATATTTTAAATTGCAATATGCATAATACATGTTTTTCTCCTATCCCAGAGATAAAAGACAGATGGAGTTAGTCATTTTTGAAATGGATGAAACCAACATTTCCCCAATAGGTTTTTATATGCAGTCTCTTCAGGGGTGGGTTGCCAGGGGGTTCTCAGGGGTTCAGGAGAGTCCCTAGGTAAGATGTTCCCTATTATTCGCACCTATTTTCCCCAGCACCATTGTGAGTTTATTATGCACTGCTGCAGAGCCACAATTGCAAGCGTGCTGTTAGCTGATGGAGAACATCACCTTTCATGACTAAATGGCAAACTTTAAAAAAACATAAATTAACCTCCCCTATAAATGGAAGTTTGAAGGAAGAGGAAAATACCATGCCGAAAGGAGATTTAATTAATTTTGTAAAATATGATATCTGGTTGTATCAAAGTTACAACTAAGCTGTAGACTGAGGCAAAATTCAATTTCTGGATCTGTGAGATATTCAGCTTCAAGGATTGAAACTAAAAAGTATTTATGCTTGTAAATATAAATGAGTAAAACTCTCATTCCAAATGACTTCTCCACAAAATATTTTTAGTTAAGCTGTTAATGAATTACTTCATTAATGAAGTAATGAATGAGATGCACTCAAGGGTGGGGTTTACTGATTCGGACTGGTTCAGGTGAACCAGTTGTTAAATTTACATCTGGTTCATCAAACAGGTAGTTGAACCATCTGGCTGGCCTTGCCCACCCTGCCCCTTCCTTCCCAGGTGTCTCCACACAGCCTGTTTTGGATGCAGGTAAATGCAGGGTCTGCGTGGAGGCTCTGGGAAGGCCAAAAATGGGCCAAAATGGAAGTTCTGGAAATCTGGAAATGGGCCTGTTTCCAGCTTCCTGGAGGCCCTCTGGAGCCCAAAGGAAGCCTCCGGAATCAGGGGAAGGCAAAAAATGGCCTTTCCGGAAGTTCCGGTAGGCTCACACCCACCATGGCCATGCCCACCCAGCAACCGGGAAGAGAACCAGTTGCTGGGCTTTTTGAATTCCACCCCTGGATGCACTGATATTGCATTTTCCACCATTTCTGGCAAGAGGCATTGATGTCCTTCATTGTTTTTATTGCCCCTAACCCTAATCCCTAACCCTTGTCTTGATCAACAATCTTAAAATCAAAGTACACCCTGTTTGTTTGTTTGTTTGTATATATACGTGGGTATTTTCCCACGTCATTGTAGTTGTGCTTTTAAAGTTGTAGCAACGTTTCGGCAGAATCTCATCTGCCATCATCAGGCTTCTGTATAGTGTTCATCTGTGAGTCAGACTTTTACGGTGGTTTCAGATTTAAATTTGGGGCAGCCTATTGCTGTGCCAGAATGGTTTTTTCTTCACCCTGATTGGTTGGGAGTCTTGGTCTGTGTTTATTGGAGTTCGCTGTGTTCTGCTTGATTGGTGTTTCTAATATCTTCTGTCTGTTTTTTGGCTCTTTTTGTGTCTTGGTTGGCTGGCAACATTGTGTTCCTGTATTGGAGACTTTTAGTTCAGCTTGGCTCCGAGTAAATGGACGGCTATCATTAGTTAGGAAGCTAGGTTTCATCTGGGTGCCTGGTTGGGGTGTGTTTGAGCTGTAGGTATCAGGGGGGATCTGTCTGTGCCCAGGTGATTGCCTGGCTTGTGGTGTGGAGATTTTTTTGTTTGTGAGTGCAGGCTTCCAAATGATTGACAATCTGGTGGAATCATCTCTTCTATTCATGCTTTCTGGTCTTTTTTCAATCTCTATGGCTTCTCTGATGATTCTGTGGCTGGGGTTTTCTAGAAACACCAATCAAGCAGAACACAGCAAACTCTAAGGCTAATAAACACAGACCAAGACTCCCAACCAATCAGGGTGAAGAAAAAACCATTCTGGCACAGCAATAGGCTGCCCCAAATTTAAATCTGAAACCACTGTAAAAGTCTGACTCACAGACGAACACAATACAGAAGCCTAATGATGGCAGATGAGATTCTGCTGAAACATTGCTACAACTTTAAAAGCACAACTACAATGACGTGGGAAAATACCCGAACAAAGCTGAATGCCATACATACATACATACATATTTACATTGACTATTTTTGTTCAGATGCTTTCTTAACAAGTCCAGTCTTGTCTTCGAGGCTTAAGCCTGTACTTGCAGATCAGAAAGGAAGATCTGAAATGTTACCTGCCAGGGCTTCACAGAGAGGTGAAGGTGTGACTTCTTTCTGCCCCTCGTCAATGCCAGTTGTGACTCCAATGTATACGCAGTGTGTAACGCATGTGCAACAGAATAGGCAGCATTGTAGATGCTGTAGCTGAAACCGGTCATCTTTCCATCAAAGATGGAAACTGGGAGGGTGGCCAGGTTCTCCTCCCCTGTGCAAACCCTTCGGCCATCAGGTGAGGCCTGACCTGCCTTCAAAACCTCACAATCAAATACAATTTCCCACCAACTGGGGAGAAAGACATCTCCATGGGGTTCGTGTGGATTCAGAGCCAATAGATAATCCTTGAATCCTGGCACCGGGTTTGTGTGAACCGTGAAAGACAAAGCACCATGGAGGGATTTTAGTTTTCCCCACTCATAGTGATAGCCAATAGCTGAAAATTCCCATTGGGTGCTCAGGATCCAAACCGTCCGAAATGCGATGTCGTTCTCTTCTTCATAAAAGTAGAGAGATAAAATAAGACTTTGAAGAGTATTTGAATCCCCTGAGACAATTACAACTTGAGCATTATTGCTCGAAATTGTCAAAACCAGATCTATTTGTTCCCTGAACAATTCATTGAATATTGAGAATCGGGGAAAGATCTGTTTTACAAATTGTATACAAATGTCATGCTGGGCAAGAATGGCTTCAAAAATCCAGATGAAATGCTCACTGCTCTCTGAATTCTCAACAACAATCCCAATCCAGTTCCACTGGAAATAGAGAAGGAGCCAGACAATGGCTGCATTCTGTAGGTGATATTGGGGATCGATCTGGTAGAAGATGGGGAACAGGCTCTTATCCCCCAAAACAGGGTCAGAGAAGCGATAACCTAGCTGAAAGGAGAATGGAGATAGAGAAAAAAAGAATCCTTGAATCCTGACACCGGGTTTGTGTGAACCGTGAAAGACAAAGCACCATGGAGGGATTTTAGTTTTTCACCCTTTCCTCATGTTGTATGTCCAAGTACCTGAGAAACCTTGAAATTGCCAAATATGGTTGCCATCTGATATGAGTTTCTGGAGTTGAGACCCCCAAGGACAGACAGAAGGTTGTCCTGTGTGTCACACTTATAGTTAGGAAACAATTTTCTTCGGCTGGAGAGCAGAGACAGGCTGACATCTGGAGTCATGCTTGCATAGTGGTTGTCTTCATAGATGCGGAAGCCCAGGGTGATGTTGGGGAGAAGCTGTGGGTCTTTGTTGACCTCCTGGATGGCAAATGCCAAAGCCAGAATGTGTTGGTAGTTCTTGGGAACAGGTCTTCATTACAAGTGTTAGAGGATAAAAAACAGACAGGAGTGGAAGGGAGATGTTTATTCTATTATTTCATTACCACAATTCTAAGAATTGATCATAAAAAAAAATCAGTGCAAATCAGTTGATTTGTTTTACTGCTGTCAGAAAATACGGTTACTGTCAGTCAGTATGATTTTGTTATTATTGTCAATGGTGTATGATAAAGCCTGCACTCCCTTTCTCCACAGCAAACTTAAGTGAGTTGATGCATAAATCATAATTTACATCATGAGCTGTTCGAGTCAGTATTGCAAACAAACAAAATGGAACAATGACTGATGATCTCATTTTACCGGTCAACTATAGAAAGTGTCCTCTGCATGACGGTGTGGTATGCTGCCTTGACAGCTGTGGATAGAAAGACACTACAGAGGGAGGTGAGCACAGCACAAAACATCGTAGGCTGTTCCCTGATACCACTAGATCAGTGGTTCCCAAAATTTTTCAGCCCACCGCCCCCTTGGTGCTACAAACTCATCCTCAGTGCCCCCCACCCAGGGGTGGGATTCAAATTTCTTAACAACTGGTTCTGTGGGCATGGCTTAATTTGTGGGCATGCGACTGGTTAGGCATGGCTTGCTGGCTGGGCATGGTTTGGTGGTTATGTGACTTGGTGGGCGTGGCCAGGTGGCCATGTGACTGGCAAACCAAATATAAGTTGTTATGTCCTGAGGACTCAAGGAGTTCTCACTCAGGTCCACTCACT